ACACACACACACACACACACACACACACACACACACACACATATATATATATATATATATATAAGGGTTTTTATTCGAACTTTCAGGACCAAATTGAGAGATGGCGTGAACGCTGTATTTTTGAATGTCTATAAATTGAGGTGTTACAAAAATTTTGATGGCTAGTGGTATAGCTTAGAATGATATTAGAGTGTTGTGATATTCAGCGGTTCAAAATATGAATTAGGTACAGATATCACGAACTATGTATATGTATATATGTTTAAAATGTGTTGTATCATTTGATGACAGGGGTGAGGGGCTGTCACATGCCACTTGTCAGCAGCTTTAGAGAACATTTATTTTTATACCTTTTTTTTACAACCTATTTTTTTTAAACCATTCAATAAAAAGCTTGAATTTGTACTATAATTAAAACGCCACTGAGAAAGAAGCTTGAAGGGTGGTCTATCCTAGTACTGTCCAATACGTGATGAGCTTGTTGTATCCCGAGTTCCCGACATATTCAAGAAGTTATAACTAAAAGTCCTGAAGGCTGAAGGCCTGAAGCCCTCTATAATATTTATTACAAAACAAAATAAGGGTTCACTCACAGTGACACAGTCAATGAGACCTACTACTCTCAGTCTCTTTCTACTAGAGCGAGAGAGAGAGAGTTGAAGTCACTTCTTGAAGACTTGAAGACGAAGTTCAGCTGGACTTCACGGATTCACGGATTCATCATTCACGGTTGTTCTGTTCCAGTGCTCTAGGCTCAAAAGTCGTCAAAACCAAACAAACGCTATATTTTTTTATCTAGAGAGCATCTTGATCTTTTAGCTTCGTGACTTCCTCTCTCTGGCAGTCTGACGGCGGTTCGAGTTTTAAATATTTAACTTGTTACCCAATAGATTCTATATTTGTCGTATTCTGAGACCCCGAGAGTGACCGAGCTGTCCTAGTCCCGCTGGGCCGCGAGCAAGCAGAGCATAAAGCCATTAAAATGTGCATTCTTTTGTTTTGCTGTTTTGTTTTCTGTTAATTTATTTTACAAATAAGCCCCAAAAAAAACATACATATACAAAACACCGTCGAATTTTGCCAATGTTAATATATATACTTAATATATATATTTTTAGCAAAAAAAGAAATAAAAAAAAACTAATTGTATTTAGTGAAGTAAATACTATTTTGTTTTAAAAATATACTGGCACCGTCCACCGGCCACCGCACCAGGTGACCTGAGACCACTGACCAGGGCACAAGGCCCGACATCCCGGGCCGGCAGTCTTGCAGTCTGGACTCCTGCACAGACTGCGGTCCTGCGGCTGCCCGTCTGCCAGTCCGTCTGTCCAGTGAGAATATTTACTAGTAGTAGGTACATACTGGTATTTAAATGAGTGCTTACTGCAGAGTGAGTAAGCAAGTTGAATTTTGGTTTGGTTTTCTCAAAACCCCCCCAAAAAATCCTGGTGCCCTGGTCAGAACTCAGAACTCAGAACGGATAAGTCGTCAGAGGTCAGTCGTCAGATCACTGAAGTTAAAGTCTTTACTCTTTTTATTTCTATTTCAATATTTTTGTTGTGTGTGGAATGCTCGAAATAAAATTGAAAAAGGTATGCTGAGGAAGTGAGGATAGAATAGACTCAATTTATATCAGTAAATATCTATTTTTATTTATGACTACATTATTTATAAATATAGAACACGTCGACATGAATACATATGTACAATTTGTACATACTTATGATATATACTACATAGCCTCCTATAAATAATAAATAAAACAAGATGCTATGAAATGTACTGTAATAAAAGTTTGTCATTATTTATTGCTATAAAAATGAATACTCTAGTGCCTCTACTCTACTAGAGAGAGAGAGTTGATACTCAGAGAGAGTCTACTAAAAAATACTAAATTATTTATTGATATACTACAAAGACTAGAGAGAGAGACTCGAAAGAGAGAGAGAGAGAGAGAGAGAGTGGGAGAAAGTAGAGGATCAGGTCATCACTCATCGGGTCCTATCATATGTACATATGTATTTATATAAGCATGTATCAAAATAGAATTGGAGGCCAGAGGCTGCTCTTACAGTACTACTATTATACATCGGTGTTTAAAAAACATTTTTTAGATTTGTCCCGTGTCTGTCGGTCTCTCACGACTTTCTGCCTGTTGGCTTTTCACACACATATTGTCGGTACTCTGTCGTCAACTTTTTAACCAGGCCAGTAAAAAAACAAATATCGGACACTGTACAGTATCCAGGAGTATGTTTGTATCCTCTATCCTCACTGTTCTGACAGACTGAAATTTGAAGAAAAAAACTCTGTTGCTTGTAAAAGTGGCATGTAAATAATGCCTTATTAGTTTTTCACTCTTTAAAACGATATCCAATTTTGGATTCCAGCTGGTATTATATCGGCATATGTGTGTAAAACTTACTATGGCTACAATAGAACAAGTATATTGAATGTAGCGGGCGGCCAAGTTTGGGTGACCTATATAAGCAGTGTTGACTGTTCATTGTTCCAGCATAAGAGCAATCACTGCACTTCATTACATTGAACAGAATTTATATTGCTAAAATGACTGTTTTATTTCCAACCAACAGTTCCAAAACAAGCACCACAGGTACCTCTAACAACGAAGTATTCAGTCCCATAGCCCTTTCCGATGATGTTCCTACATCACAGGGATATATCAAACCCAAAAGCCCGGTGAACATAGTAGCGCTAGCACCGTTCAACATTGAGGACGAAAGCGAAGGACAAGCGTCATGGTATCATGCATCTCTTCATTTAACCACCGCCAGTATTGGTACTGGAATCCTGGGCCTCTCGAAAGCCTTCGGTTATCTCAATTTGATCACAAACGCCCCAGGTCTTGTAGGTTGTTTGTTTTTGAGCGCAGCATTCGTAATTAACTGGTACACATCCTGGTGTCTATCTAAGATACACATTCTTGCACCATCCAAAGAATACCCGAAGGGTCGCAGATTGAAGACATTTCTGGAAGTCGGCTCATACGCCTGGGGCAACAAGGTGGCCAATTTTATACTCACTCCTTTGCAGTTGCTCAACTGTGTAGGTACTGGGATTGCCTACTTGATTGTAGCTGGAAATAACATACAGAGTCTATACAGGCTGTATGGTGGATCAGAAGACACCAAACTGATGTTCTTTACCATTGCGGCCATTCTGTGTCAACTAGTGCTGTGCCTGTTCCCATCTCTAGAGTCTTTCCAGGGCATGTCATTTGTAGGTGCTATGATGAGTATGGTCTACGCCGTGATCGCCATTGTACTGTGTTTCGTTTTGTATGGAAGTCCAGTTATCTCACCAGAGCCTTCTTATAAGATCAGTTCAGGCATGGATGCCATGTGGAACATGTTTCTGGGAATCTCCACGGTTGCATTTCTTTTCGGGATGCAGACCATTCAGCCTGACGTCCAGAGTACACTTCGTAGAGAGAATCCTTCCACCGAGGTTGCCTATATGCGCGGCTTAGCCGGTACTTACAGTGTTTCCATTCCTCTGTATGTTCTCATTGGTGTAGCGGGCTTCCTGACATTCGGAGAAGCAGTGTCGTCAGATATTCTAGTGAGTATCAGTGACGTCTCCACAGGGTCTGTGGTCAAGATTTTCATCACTATTGCGCAGGTGACGGTTATTGTGCATGTCATTGTGGCCTACCAAGTATGGTCGATGCCCGTGTACGCCCTATTTGAATCATGGCTCGCCAAGTTTAACAACAAAAACAAGCCTCAGACTGACGACAAATTCTCATTTTCTGCGGAAGAAGTTGAAAGCGCATTGACTGTTGAAACTGTCGAGGCGAAATCCAAATTCAGTTTTAAACTACCACTCAGCCCAACAGTCATTGCCATACGATTTGCTTTCGTATGCTTCGCTGGGTTTGTAGCCATGGCAATTCCTTTCTTTGGAGACATCATGGCTTTGAATGGTTCAATCGCTATAGTTCCGCTATGCTTCATCTGTCCCATCGCTCTGCGATTTACCACAGGCGATGACCGTGGAAGTATTGGTTTACCAGAGAAGGTGTGGGCTCTGTCTATCATGATTATCATGTGCGTAATTGCAGTGATAGGAGGCATTTCGGCGGTGAGGCAAATCATACTGGATGCAAGCACATACGAGCTGTTTATGTAGATCTATCTGTAGTTTTGTATATTGCACCTGCCAAAGGAATTAAAAGAAAATTTTGAGGATGTAAAAACGTTTAAAATCTGCTAGCGTTGTCAGCACATTTGTACAAACGAATTCGTAGGTATAGACATGTTTTAACTCAAAACTACGAAATTCGTGGTAGGATCTATATACTGTCATACCCTTAATAAAAAATCCACTTCACACTAAATCTGTGACCAGGGTGCCTAAATTGATCGTAAGGTAGTTCCGAACATGTCAGAGGGGTGTATTGGATTTCAATGTGCTGAGAAGGTGACTTTATTGGCTAAACAAATCCGAACGTTATACGCTGGTGTTCACAGTTATATTTCCATATAAATATAATTGACCTATGACTATGCTACAATTTGTTGTTTATTTTTCCATTTATATGGCGTTTTCGGGATGCCACATATGTGTCGCACGTGGGAAAGATAAACTAGAGACTCTTGCAGGCACGACACTGGGGACGCCATTGAAGCGCTGTGCGATTTGTTTGTCACCGGAGGTATCAATAATCAGTGAGGGTGTTCATCATCAACATAAAAACTTACACAGAATGGTTTATAGGAACTTCCACAGAATTTTTATAGATTTACGTGAAACAGTTTATACAACATAAAAACTAACACAGAATAGTTTATAGCAACTTCCACAAAAAAATTACAACGACTTACGTGAAACAGTTTATACTACTGATTGTGATCAGCGGATATCATACATTCATGCCCAGGTATAGTCAGTTGGGGCGTACATGACTCCAATGCGAGCTCACACAGAATTACCACAACAGTCCCTACTACGGATGGGACAATCAACACCTCCACCGAATAATGGAGAGCGAGGCCCTCGAGGTTCTGCCTCGGCAAATGCGAGTGACGCAGTACGATGACTATGTCTGTACCATAGAACCTTGTCAACAATTCAAGCAGAGTGACAGCGTTACACAATCGCGCCGTGTGGTGTTTAGTACCGTCTAGGCGAACGTATCACAGTTAACACCCCCACTTTGCCGGATGCATGTGTGCGTGTTGAGCGTATAGCTAGGTGTGCGTGTGTGCATTGTTGCGCTCGAGTATTGACTTCTGAGATATTGCACTATTACGTCCTTCGGTGTATTTCACTGAGAATATAATGGGCTGCTTGCACAATTTAGGGTTAACAGATTGCAGACAAGTACTCGCCCGCAATATCCACGCGTCCAAGGAATTGTGATTGGTTCGTTTTATAACAGTATTGTGTAGCAATATATATCACTACCCTTTAGCAAAGGATCTGCCATGTAAATAGTTCCGACCATACGCCTTTACGTATACACAATATTGTGTTCTATCATGTACGTTAATTTATTGCATTTACGTATAAGTTTTACTGCCCTTTACCCTGTACGTTAATTCATTGCATTTACGTTTACACAAGACTGTGTGTTCTACCATGTACGTTTATTTAGTGCATTTACGTATGAATTATACTGCCCTCCCATATACGTCAATTTGTCGCATTTAAGCACGCACTGTACTGTGCATTCTACCATGTACGTTTATTTATTTGTTATTTGCATGCACAGCACCCTGTACCTATATATATATTCGTATATATATAGCTGTCCTAAATCTCAGCCAGTTGCACATAGTTGGACGGGAAAGATCCAAACTTTCCCGTGCGCGTAATACATTACACCCATGTACGTTTATTTATTGCACAACACCCTGTACCTATATATATATATATATTCATATATATAGCTATCCTACATCTCAGCCAGTTGCACATAGTTGGACGGGAAGGATCCAAACTTCCCCGTGCGCGTGGAGGTGCCCACCCACCACTCGCCTTCCATCTCTTCCACTTTGACGATGTCTCCTTCAATCAGCTCTAGATCCGCGCGTCTCTCGGGGGTGTAGCTGTATATGACTTTTACCTACGGACGGTTTAGGGTTGGAGGTTTACGATACAGGTGTATTATGAGGAATTTGTTAGGGTTTAGGGTTTGGGGTTAGGGTTAGTTTATGATACAGGCGTATTATGCAAAGGAACTTGTTAGAGTTTAGGGTTTGGGATTAGTTAGGGGTTAGGGTTTGGGGTTTAGGGTTAGAGGGCTATGATACAGGAGTAATACGTATAAGAAACTTGGTACCTAAGACACGAGTATAGCTGTATATGACTTCTACCTACAGACAGTTTAAGAACAATAACACAGGTATACTATGTATTTGTGACTGTGAGAGTGTGGGGATGCGAACAGGGCATAAGAGTTCAACAATTAAGAGAGACACACTGACTATGAATCAATCTACAGCAGCACACCAGCACATACACATCACACACAGACATACCAGCACACATACACTACAAACAGACAAACCAGCACACACGCACACACAAACATACCATCACATACGCTACACACAGATATATCAGCACACACACACACAAAAACATACCATCACATACGCTACACACAGGCATATAAGCACACACGCTCACACAAACATACCATCACATACACTACACATCACTGCAGTCCTGTGAGATACGTATTCCGTCGGTAGGGATAACATATATAGTACATCTATTGCTGCATAGGTATATACGTTATACATTTACCGTACACCCTAGCACAGGCAATACGTTTAGTCTCACGGCGTCTTACCTTCACGGGCCTTCCAGCAGAGGCTGTGCGCGGGGGTTGTTTCTTGTCACCTCCAAGGCTTTTAGTAGACGCTGTGGTTTTGTTCGTTGCAGAGCCTAAGGCTGTGGGACGACCAGGCCCACTTTTTACTATACAGCAGATCAATGGGAGCAGTATATATATGAGATGTATATGAATACACACACACACACAC